GCAACTCAAAGTCAGTAAAACGACCGTCGCTGACCACCTCAAGGCGATTGGAAAAGTGAAAAAACTCGAAAATTGGGTTCCACACTCATTAAACGATCGCCAAAAAAATCAGCGCTTTGATGTTTGTGCATCACTTCTTTGTCGAAACAAAAATGACCCATTTCTGGCCAGAATTGTTACATGTGACGAAAAGTGGATTCTCTACGATAACACTAGACGTTCTGGACAGTGGCTCGACAAAGGAGAAGCTCCAATACATTTTCCAAAGCCCCCAACTCATCAAAAAAAGGTAATGGTTACGGTATGGTGGGCTTCATTTGGTTTAATACACTACAGCTTCTTAAATCCTGGCGAAACCATCAATGCTGAATCATACTGTAACCAAATTAATACCATGCATCAGAAATTGGCAGTAATGAAGCCCTCTTTGGTCAATCGGAAAGGGCCCATTTTGTTGCATGACAACGCTCGACCACATGTGTCACGTGTAACGTCACAAAAATTATTGGAGCTTGGCTATGAAACTTTGCCTCACCCACCCTACTCTCCGGACCTCTCGCCTACTGACTACCATTTTTTTAGACACCTGGACCACTACTTACAACACATAATATTCAAAAATCAAACGGAACTGGAAAATGCATTTATTGACTTTATCAATTCTAAAAATTCTGAATTCTACTCAGACGGAATTAATAAGTTACCAACACGTTGGGAGAAATGTATTGAGAGTATGGGAAATTATTTTGATTAAAGAACATTGCTTTAAAGTAACTAGTTTCTTTTTTTTTGTTTAATACCAAAATCCTGCATTATTTTCCGGACAACCCAATAATATTTTTATGTAAGGTTTTGGTTGAAATGAAAAAGTTAGTGTCACGAGCGGGATTCGAACCCATGACCTTCGGCTAAATGCGCCGCTGCTCTACCACTTCAGCTATCGTGACTTCGATCGACTCTGACACCAACTTCCCATCTCAATCTTCAACCTTTCGATGTTTCCCTCCTTTTTGCCATTTTTCAAATGTCGTGTAATCAGGAAAATTCGTATCAAAACCTTACATAAAAGGAATAATTAATCGAAAGAAGTAATTTGGTCAATAGACCACTAAATATAATGAAAATAATTAACATTCAATTAATAACGCAATTTCTTTTTCTGCTTCTTTCTTTTACTATCATAAAATTAACATCACGCGAATTCACGAGAGCTACAAAACTCTTCCAAATATAATGTAAGATATAATCTTTGCCCCTTCTAACATTAAGAAAATTCCAAACAGTATCATACGTTATAACACCATTGATCAAAACGGTCAAGTCTAAGACTGACAGTAAAAAATTGATGTGTGTAACTGGTAAAAGTGATTCTACTGTTTAAAAAAATTAATGATCCTTTTAAAAAGATTTAAGTTTCTACTCACATTAAGTTGTTTTCCAACGATCCGGATTTCGAGCTTTTCGCTCATCATCAGGTTGAAGAAGTTTTACAACTACGTCTCTCGACCTGAATTACAAAAGTTTCTTTTGGTGATGATGAGAAAAAAGCTTGAAATTCGGATCATTGGAAAACAACTTACTGTGAGTAGGAACTATTTTTTTTTTAAAGGATTGAACACCACACTCACTCCACCATTCATCATTTCTAGAAATTAATGATTTTTCGCATTTAACTCAAGGTAACGTTTTAGAAAAACAGATGAACAAAACAAGTCATATATTATAAAACATTACTACGATGACAGAGGAGAAGGANGTAGGAGGTGCTTGTCCCTCCCGTCGACTAGATACGAGACAGAGGGACACAATAAGAAGGCCGGCCGTACAATAGACCTACAATATTATTAAGATTAATCGTTTCCGGTGCGGCAGGATAAATTGACACACAGTGCAATAGAATAATTTGTTGATTATTCTGTGATGTAATGGCGTCGACAGCCTTGCGCACTTCTGCGATATCAGCCATCCCTGTCGATAAAATAATAGGAACTTGCTTACTCGCGATGTATTTAAGATAGGGGTAGTTATTCACATCCTGCGAAGCTACCTTGATAAAAGGTACTCCACATTCATCTACAAGAAAATCCACTTCATGTCGAGAATATGGCGTTGAGGCAAATGCAATGCCTACGCTCTGACAGTATTTTGCCAGTTCTAATAACTCAATTTCTGCAAGGGAGAATTTTGAAATGATTCTTTTTGCAATCGGATTACTGTCATAATAGTTCTTTGAATAGAGCGAATCAGCAGACCAGGACTGGAATTTTACGCAGTCACACCCAGCCATTTTAGCACTATCAATCATTTTGCGCGCTATTTCAATATCACCATTGTGGCTTGAGTTAACTTCAGCAATAAAATACGGTTTGTTCCCACTACCAATACACTTTCCATCTTTTAACAACACATCCGGCATAGCAAACCTCTTAGCTAAATTTTATTGATCGATAGGGTCAATGATCATTTCTGATAAAAACAACGTACGATCAAGAAATGGTGCCTGATCTTCCAATGGACGCTGGACGAAACGACCTTTACTGGTGCGAACATACGATGTATTAATATATTCTTGATCCTCAGGGCACATGACCTCACAAATAACGGGGCCTTCGTGACTCAGAACACGCTCTATTGCTTCATTAAGATCTACAGACGTTTCCACTTTTTCATAATGAAGACCAAAACACAGGGCCACCTTTGAAAAATCGGGACATGACACCCCATTATCCGCATCGGTGCCAATTGTGCGCGTTCTAAATAAATCAACCTGCCGTTTTCTGATTACCGCGTAACAATTATTATTAGCTACAATGATTTTAATAGGCAATTGATGGTGGGCTATTGTTTGCAACTCCTGCAAATTCATCATAATCGAGCCATCACCAATCACCGTAACCACTTGCTTATGAGAGCTTAAATAGGCACCGATAGCAGCGGGCAACGCGTAGCCCATCGCCCCTTGAGAAGCAGGATGTAAGCATTTTTGTTGTTTCTGGAACGAGATCGTAGTCGGTAAAACCAACTCTTCCAAGCCTGAGTCAGTCACAAAAACTGCATCATCAGCCAAATGTTCCGAAAGTATATCAGCTAAATAGTACAGATCGATCTTGTCGCTTTTTGTATATTTTTCTTCGCACTTGGGAAATATTTTCTTGTAATGGAGGCATTTTTCAGCCCAATCACTCCAGGTAACAGCAATGTTTCTCTGATTGATTTTTTCCAAAAAAATGCTCGCGTCAGATAATATTAACTTTTCAATCTTCAGGTTATCTTTGCGAAATTCGTTTTCATCGATATCAACAGCAACAATACGCGCTGCACGAGCAAATTTTTCCGGGTTAGACCCAGTAGTCATTGATGTCATACGAGCGCCAATGATGACCAATAGATCAGAATTTTGCATAGCAAAATTTGCAGCCCGGTTGGTTGCCATTGTTCCTACAGCACCAATGGATAATTGATGCTCGGACCTATAAACATCTGTAGCTGATGCGCAATATACAACAGGAATCGACGTTTTTTCGATGAAGTCACTGAAAAGTGATTGTGCTCCCGCCGAGCGAACACCGCTGCCAATGACCACAACAGGCCGCTGAGCGCCAGCTAACGTTTCGCACAGCCAATCAATATCTTCTTCATGTGAGGCACTTAATTTAGCCTCAGTGGGTGTATAACGCTCAAGCTCCTCTTCCTCAACGCGCATATTCTGAATATCTAAAGGGATATCAATCCAAACAGGTCCTTTGCGTCCATGCTGGGCCATATAAAGCGCTTTATCCATTTCCACTGCAATTTGGGTAGGATCATCGATCATTACCGCATATTTGGTAATTGGTTTTACCAAACTAATGATGTCGGCTTCTTGCTGACCATAGGTTCGTATGGGTAATCCTGTGTAACTAACTGTTTCTTTTAAAGTATTCTGCCCAGAAATGATAACCATGGGAATATCATCTTGCCAGGCACATAGCACAGGGGTTATCGCATTCGTCGCTGCACAACCGGTTGATACCAAACAAGCCCCTAATACCCCATTAACTTGGGAATAGGCCATGGCGGCGTAAGCACCAGCCTGCTCATGGTGAACGCAAACACAGTTAAGTTCCTGATGCTTAGCTGCGGCATCAGATAAATACAGGACACCTCTACCTGTCACCATAAATAGATCGTCCACACCCGATTGGTGCAGCCGTTGCATCACGTAATCAGAGACGCGCATAATGAGAAACTCCTACGAAATAAAATCTACTTTGGAAGATATAGGTTTAGCGTATCAGGCACAGCAACAACCAACTCAACCTGACAAACAACCTCACCATTGATAAACCCAGTAGATTTCCCTTTCGCAATCCCTCTGGAATAAGAATCAAGTTCAGCCACAATATCCAAACGTTTTCCTGGAATAACCTTCTGTTTAAAATTTGCATTTTTAACAGATAAGAAACCTGTCTTCTTTCCTTTATTCTCTGGTTTTGTTAAGAAAGTCATCAAAAACACTTGTGTCAGCGTTTCGATAAGAATAAAACCAGGAACAACAGGCTCGTCCTCAAAATGAGCGGGGAAAAACCACTCATTGTAAGTAAAGTTTTTAAATCCTCGAGCACTTTTACCAGGAATGGCTTCTTCAATAGCATCAACAAAAAAACAAGGAAAACGATTTTGTTGATATTTCTGGATCTCTAAAGGCCCAAGATCGCGCAGAATACTGATGTCACTCATCGCTGTCTCACTTAAATTTCAACATTATACTTCTTAAGTATTTCAATTCCTTTTTGGAAGGAACTCAAATCAACGATGTCATCTGTATCAAGCATAATGCCAAAGTCGTCTTCTAATGCAGCAATCAACCCCATGTGACCGACTGAATCCCACGCTTCGATAGATTGATACTTAAGTTCCTCAATGCTATTTTCATTCTCAATATCAAACGTTGTAACAAATGCAGATTTATATTTTTCAAAATTAGACATGATAACCTCTATATTGTACTTTACTTAAAATCAATCTTCGTTTTTTATAAATTTAACCCACTCAGAGATCAGCTCATCTCTTGATTGGATACAGTCAGGTGTTTTATATAAAGTAACACCACCGTTTATCGTATCGGACAGATCCAGCTTACAACTCGCAACTGAAAGTCCAACACCAAAAGAAACGAAAAGCGTACTATTACTTACTTTACCAAACATTTGGTCGCAATAATTAACCAGCACAGATGTGCCACCACAGTTCCCATATTTAGAAAATGTTTCAGCTGAAGCTTTATCCTTGGGTAACCCAGCATGGTTAATAATGGTTCTAACAATTTGCCCATTCGCCTGATGGATAGCAAAAAAATCAATTTCTTGATAGCTACTTTTTGCATATTCAATAACTTTACTGATCGAGTCCGGTGCATTATCTATAGCAAACTTAAAGACATCACCACCTTGCATCACCGAGTCTGACAAGTGATACGGGTTTCCAACAGGATCCATGATTTCCAAATCGACAATATCACGTTGAACAGGCAGTCTAAAACCACCCGCTGGCGTGACAATTTTTTTCCAATCTTTGCCTAAACTTTTTAGGTGAAAAAACGATTCATATTCTTTGTCAGAGCGGTCAACCAAGATAGCGGCTCCCGCATCGCCAAACAACATATTTGCGTTTCTATTTCTTACATTTGTAATAAGACTACTTGAAGAACCTTCAAGTACTAAACATTTTTTTGATGCCCCGCTTTCAACCAGAGAATGCGCCAACCAAAGCGCATAGATAGCATCGGTACATCCCAGGCCACTGGTGTCGAAACAAGCACACTCCTCAGATAGCCCTAACTTCCCCTGAATAATACATGCATCTGAGTTTCCGATATAATCATGGTTGATAGATGCCATAATGAGAGTATCAATCTCATTGACATCAACATCCATCTTTTCTATCAGCACTCGCGCAGCCGCCTCACATAAATCAGCAGCCGTAACACCATCGGGTACAACATGACGCGTGCCTAAACCTAATATTTTTTTATTTCGGCTAAGTTTGGCGGCATCATTTTCATAAAATTTAATTTCATCATCAATATTTTTTTGATTTTCTGGCAAAACACAAAAAATAGCAGAAACCTTGGCATGCTTGAACGTTGACAATGACATATCAATGACCTCTCTGATTAAAAACTTCCACAATCTACAACATAATTTTGAGCTGTGATCCAAGCTGACTTATCAGAAAGTAAAAAAATTATCATTTCGGATACATCATCAACTGCTCCGATCCCCATTGGATATTGTTGATGCTCAGTATTGTATTTTTCTACCATTGCCGTTGTTAAAGGCGTATCTATCGTTGACGGTAAAACACAATTGGCTCTGATTCTAGAGGGGGCCAACTCTTTGGCTATGCACCTTATCGATGCACAGAGCGCTGCCTTACTTCCAGCGTACTCGGTATGTCCTCTGTCACACAATTGTGCAGCGACACTGGACACGAAAACCATAGAACTTCCTGCATTATTATTAACACGGCGATCGGAGAAAGCTTTAGCCATCATCAGCGGTGAGAAATAATTAATCGCGAACGTATCCTTGATACCTTCGTAAGAAAGGCTTCGTAAAGGCACAATATCGGAGATGCCTGCACACCACGCCAAGCCCTGCATTTTCCCATAGCGGTCTTTCAAGGCCTGAACATAGCTCGACATCGTTTCAATATTTTCAGCCAACTCTTTAACTTCAGAGAAAATATGGTGCGGGAATTGACTCTTTTCTCGCACTTTTTCTAATCGCTCCCGGTTTCTGCCTACAGCAATGACCTTGGCACCCAATGCATTCAACTTCAAAGTAACTGATTCGCCGATGCCAGATGATGCTCCGGTAACAAGGAATACCTTTCCGCTGAAAAAATCATTCATAGCGTGATATTTGCCATTTTTACAATTTCACTGAGGTCTTTAATGTTTTTATAATCGGCCATGCTCGTTTTGGCACCGAAATTACGCTCAAGAAATGCCATCATAGCCATGATAGAAAGCGAATCCCAGTCAGGAAGACTTGGCAGATGAGTATCCATGCTCAAAACTTCATCCTTCTGCAATAACTCCTGAACTTCGGATAAAAATTCTTTCTCAGTCATGATTGTCGCTCCAATTATCATCAATTATTTACTTTAACTGCCGGATTACCGGACATATAACAGTTATTACCACAGCCCTTATAAACCACAGACATAGGAACTATCGTATTTTCGTTTCCAATACGTGATTTAGGAAGTAAAACTGAAGATGTTGCAATAATATTTTCACTTCCAACCTTAACATTTCCAAGGACACGGACGTTAGGCGATATAAAATTAAAATCGCCAATAATAGCATCATGCCCAACTTCGACACCACCATTAAACAAATTTCCGTTTCCAATATGAACATTGGTTGATATCAAAGTTCGTATGGCTAAAATATTACCATCACCAAGCTCACTGTGCGGAAATAAAATACATGACGGATCAATAATATTTGGCATTTTCACGCCGCGATTCTTAAGATAAGTATATATACTCTTTCTTATAGCAGGCTTTGCTACGCCGATCACCGCACAATCGTTTTCCTCAAATACAAAATCATCTACGTCACAAACATATAATTCTTTGTATTCTTTATAATTCGCAGGATTGCCGTATCCGTTATGTCCGATAAACCCACCAAATTGGATTTTTTCACCCGCTTGCACCATCCGATCTATATATGAATAGACTTCGCGAGCCAGACCATCACCACCAACAATAAAAATACGATTCATATAATCATTCCATACCCAAAAGACAAAAAAAGCGAATATACAGCGCTAATCGTCTCCAGCTGTTGCATTTTTGATTAGTGAGATGATTTTTTCCTGCTCTTCTATCTCTAAATCTGGATAGATAGGAATACACAGTACAGAATTGGCAATACTGACAGACTCAGAGAGATCTCCCCTTTTATGCATCTTATACATAGGGAAATCACTGATCAGGGGGTAGAAATAACGGCGAGCAAAAACACCTGCAGCTTTCATTTTGTTGTAAAGTGCGTCTCTGCCACAAGGGTAGCGATTGTCTATAAATATAGGAAAGTACGCATAGTTCCATTCAACATTGTCAGGAACATCAACTATTCTGATACCCTCTATATCAGATAAGGCATGACAATACCTTTCAGAAATGGATTTTCTCAACTCAAGCGCTTTGTCGATATATTGTAACTGTAACAATCCAAACGCTGACTGAACTTCATTCATTTTGCCATTAATTCCTGGCGCTACAACAGTCACTTCATCGGTAAAACCAAAATTCTTAAGGTAATCAATTCGTTTTTTTGTTTTCTCATCAGGACAAATTATTGCCCCACCCTCAATGGTGTTAAATACCTTCGTGGCATGAAAACTCAGTATTGATAAATCACCATGGTTAAGAATGCTGACACCCTCTTTTTTGACACCAAAAGCGTGTGCGGCATCATAAATGACCTTCAACCCATAAATATCTGCGATTTGTTGAATACGCTCAACATCTGCGGGTATCCCGTAGCAATGCACAGGTAAAATTGCTGACGTCGCTGATGTGATCAGTTGTTCAATTTTTTCTGGATTGATATTGCACGTTTTAGGGTCGATATCAGCAAATACAGGCGTCAAACCATTCCACAACAACGTGTGTGATGTCGCAACGAAAGAATAGGGTGTTGTTATCACTTCCCCCGTAATGCGTAAAACTTGTAATGCAGTCAGCAACGCCAGGGTACCGTTGGAAAAAACGCTGATGTACTTGACACCCAAATAGTCAGCCAATTGCTGCTCGAACTGCTGGTGAAATGGACCATTGTTAGTTAACCATTTGTTATCCCAAATTTTTTCTAGATACGGGACAAACTCCTCCAAAGGAGGAAGCAGCGGTCTATTGACATAGATATTTTTCACGCTAATGCTCTCCACGATTCATTCTTATCTTTTTTAGGCACGCTACCGCCCTGGCCTTACGCTACCAGAGAACCACACCACTTTTGCTTGCCCATACCTTTTGTGCTGTAATTGATGGCGAGTACAGCCATCAATTACATATTGAGATGGGCTTTGTTGAATAAATCAGAACTTGTAACGACTGTGCCCCATCGGGTCGATTGTTACGTGATGCGAATACTGTTCGGCATTCCTAATAGCGTGATCCGGTTAAGCGCTTTGACCATCGCCATGGCTTCACCCACCTGAGCATCGTAGTCACGCAGACTTAGATGACCACCCAGAAGCGTTTTGAACCGGAACATGGCCGTTTCAGCCACTGAGCGTCGGTGATAGCCCACTTTCTTTTTCCAGGTATCGTTGCTGCCGCTCAGGCGCTGATTTGCAACAGCGTGGTTACGCTCGTGGTAGTGGTCTGGCCAATATTGCGCCCCCCTTCGCGGCGGGATAAGCGGCCTTATTTTCTTCCTCAGCAGAGCATCATGGCAGTAACCTGTATCGTAAGCGCCGTCAGCCGATGCCTCTCTGATTTTCCGGTGGGTCTGGTTTATCAGTGCCGGTAGAGCCTGGGCATCAGTCGTACCACTGAGCGACAAATCCGCACAGATAATCTCATGCGTCGCACTGTCTACTGCCAGATGCAGCTTACGCCACACCCTGCGTCTGTCGGCACCATGCTGCCGGACTTTCCATTCGCCTTCGCCAAAGACCTTCAGGCCGGTTCCATCAATGACCAGATGTGAGATTTCACCACGGGTTGGCGTTTTTATGCTGATGTTCACTGTCTTTGCTCGCTTGCTGAGCAGCGAATAGTCAGGACAATGCAGCGACAATTTAATCAGTTTAAAAATCGAGTCAACAAAACCCTGTAACGCCCTCAATGAAAGGCCAAACACGCGTTTCATCATCAGGACTGTGGTGATGGCCATATCTGAGTAGTGGAGCGGTCGTCCACGCCGTTCAGTAGTCGTTTTTTCCGTCCATGCAGCAATGGCTGATTCATCTAGCCATACGGTTAGAGAACCGCGCTGCTTGAGGGCCTTGTTATAGGAGGGCCAGTTAGTGATTTTAAAATTTTGTTTTGCCATGGAGACCTGATTTTGAAACAACTATGGTGATCTGTTCCGATGATTACCCAAACTTTCTATTTATTCAACAAAGCCATTGAGATGTCATTGCCAGCATACATCACAACTCAAAGGTCCTTGTCACATAATAACATTTTGAGCGGTGATTACTCTACTTATCAATACCCGAATGCACATGCTTGCGCAGGTTTACCATCACAGTAATTCATCCAGACGCTTCGCATCATTTGCTCAAAGTACAGTGAGGGCGACCCGCCTTGTTTTTCAATCGCCTTGAAGCGAGGCCGTAAGGCCTGCCGGCATTGATTCAGTTCATCAAGCCGAGTTGACCAGCTAATGGCTTGCTCGATGTATTCTTGCTTTGAAGAAGCGACAAATCCGTCTAAGCCCAGTGCGTTTAATGCAGCAACACCTTGCCATGTATGGTAGTTTTCACCCGTCAACATGAGTGTCGGCACCCCCATCCAAAGCGCATAGTTGGCAGTTGTCCCTCCAGAGTAAGGGTAAGTATCAAGCAATAAATCAATTTCATGATGTAATGCCAGATACTCACTTAACGACAGCCTTTCATGAAAAACAAGTTGAGATGATGCTATTCCATAGCTATCAAATTTAGCGCGCAAAATGGCAATGTCTTGTTTACCGGAGAGACCTGCGATAATCATTCGACTATCGGGCACCGACTTGAGTATTTGGGCCCATGCATCGCAAATATAATCGTTAAGTTTTTGTATACGATTCATGCTAGCAAACGTGAATCCCCCACGTTTTATAGCAGGTAATTCGTTCACTTCAGGGCTATTGTCCACACTTTTAAATTGAAGTTCGCTACGCAGATAAACCAGCTTTTCCACAAATTGTTGTTGGAAGTTTTTCGTTCCCGGAGCCAAATTAAAAATAAGGAAATAGTCCATTGCTGACATTCCTGTGGTGCCAGGACAACCAATCCAGCTTATCTGTATGGGAGCAGGTTTAAACGCAAACATAGACAAGCGATTACGCGCAGTATGACCAGAAAGATCAAACAGAATATCAATCTGTTCCTCATGGATTAGCTCAGCTAACTCTATATCGCTCTTGCGATACACAGCGTGCCATCCGTCAGCAGTTTGCTCAAAGGACTGCGTAACATTGTCGTACTTATTTGATGAGGCAAAGCCATAAAGCGAAAAGTGCTCCCGATTGATACTCTCCCAAATTGGCCTTAAGAAATTCGCCACTTGGTGATTCCATAGATCTCCAGAAACAAAACCGACGCGTAATTTACGCCCAGGTTCCCGTGTTCCTTTCGGGATGAAATGCCGATGATACTGTTGTGCCCGTTGCTCTACCAATACACCATACCCTCGGTGCTCTGCATAAAGTGACTCAGGCGTTTCCCGTACATCGTGTAGCAGCGTGAAAAGATAGCTGCTATATAAATCACAGTCATCAGGAGCAATAGCACGCATACGGCGAAAACAGTCCACAGCTTCACTCATCCGCCCTTGCGAGCTGAGCAGGTTGGCCAGGTTGTTTAATATGTTAGGTTCTTCTGGCGCATATTGTTCTGCTTTTCGAACGCAAAATTCAGCTTGGGCCATTTCATTGCTGTCTTTATACAAGGTGCTGAGCATATTCCATGCCCCTGCATTACGAAGATCGCAACGCAATATTTTGCGTACCAAACGCCCGGCATAGTAGTGTCGATAGCTATACCAAAAGGCATAAGCAGCATCCAGGTATACACTCCAGCTCGTAGCATGCATCGACAATGTTTTCATCAAGGCAGCTAGCCCCTCGTCATATGCACCCGTCTTTAAGTTTGTTTGCCCGAGCAGATACCAGCAATACATGTTCGATGGCATTTCTTCGACCAGCGCTTTAGCCTTGCTCCGAGCCGCCGCATAATCATTAATACTGATAAGGTCTCTAATTTGCTGTTGTACCTTTTTATCGACTGACCTAGCATCAGCCACTCGTTTACTGTGGTGAGACTTCTTCACTTTTTCTGAATCCGGGCTGATGTATCCCCCGACGCTGGTTTCACTGCAATACATGATCAATGCCCCGAGATAGCGCTCGCTCTTTGATGAACATGCTTGCAACAGTTGCTGAAAATAATGTTGCCAGGCAGGGACGCTCCCCCACAGCAAAATCCAGGTATTGCTGACCCAGCAACTTGTTATCACCCGGGCATATTGCATTATGCAGTTTCTCAACGTCACCACCATAGTATCCCGCAATCTCGGTATGAGGCAGAAGATCCCCTACATAGGCAAATCCAGCACCGGCAGCCATAGCATGAAAATCGAGTAGATAGCATGGCTCATTCAAGCCCTGAAGATACCTCAGACTCAAGGCTAAATCTGAGCTGGTTTCAGCATGTTTAACCAGCTCACGCATTGGTTCACTTAATGTATTTTTTGCAGCCAGTCCCAGAGACATGAAAGTTAGCATCGCACGAGCACTATCAAGTTGTTCTGTTGGCGTTTGTGCCAGGCTGCTATGCAATTGCAGCGCATCCTGCAATACTTCAACAACCTTATAGCCGGGATAAGTACTCCATGCCAGGCAAGCTATCCCTTTGGGCGTTAAATGCAGCTTAACCCACTCTAATAGCGCCGAGCGCATTGCATTATTGATCGTAGAGAAATGACCATGAATGATGATGTAATCAAATTCCCCCAAATCACTGTTTAATAATTCATCAATTCCCGCGGTCGCCAACTGAAGATTTGGCACTGACATTGTGCGTAATGCATGTTGTCCTTGGCTAATCAGCGCATCATCCAGATCAATACCAACCGCCTGACTCTTTTCATAAGCAAGTACAAACGGCAGTATGTTATCCCCTGCACCACAGCACAGTTCAAGTACTCTGGCTTTTTCTACTGCAGGCGTATGGATACCGTATAAATAGGCCGCCGCCTTGATATGTACCGGCGATGCATATGACGTTTCAATTTGTGGGCGATGCACTGTTTCATCAGCAACATTAACAAGGTCAACAGAATTATCTTGCATATTAAGCGGATATCCTTAATTCATTAGTCCAATCGCTTTACGGTGGCATAGCTGCTCAATAGCAACTATTGATCCGCTGAGTAAGGGTGCCCGACTGAAAAACTCTCAGGTTCCAGCCCTAAACAATAACGCGGTTTAGGAGGACAGCGTCTGCCGCCCACGGTTTCATCACCGTCCTACCTGATATCGGCACTCCTTTCAGAAGCTTTAATGATTTTTTAAAATTTCCTTCGAAGTGGATTACTGATTAAAATACGCTGTAGCGGATGCCATCGTGCCATCTCAGTTCTGCTGAAAGATTATACTAAACTTTGTTCATTATTTGCCGATAAGCTTCTAAAGGCATTAACTTATTCATAAGGAATTACCATGGCAAGCATCAGCTTCACAGGTTACACCAGCGGAATGGGCAATATTCTTTCGCAATTAACAACCAATGAACAGACTCGCTTAACCCCGATAAAGGCACAACAAACGCTTTACGAAAACCGAGATAAAGCCTTTGACACCCTTAAGAGTGCACTAGAAAAGCTGAACACTGCCGCAGAAGCATTGACCAAAGCAAGCAGTATCAATAAAACCAGTGTCAGCAGCACCAATACCGCTTTCACAGCAACAACGGATAGCAAAGCAACTAACGGCAATTACAGTGTAGAAGTGAAGACACTTGCTACCGCGCAATCCTTGATCTCGGGTGAATTTGCCAGCAATACAGCACAGCAGGGATCAGCGACAGAAAACAATACCCGGACCCTGACTATCAGCCAGCCAGGTCAGGATAAACCACTTGAAATCAAACTGACCGATGACCAGACATCATTAGTGGGCATCCGTGATGCAATTAATAAGGCTAATGGCAATGTTGGTGCGAGTATCATCAAAGTGGATGACGATACTTATTATTTGTCTATCACGGCCAAAGACACTGGCACCGATGCTAAGATGACTATCAGCGTCACCGGTGATGACACGCTGAATAGCAAATTGAATTATACCTCCGATACAGGTGCTGGCAGTGGTGCAATGACGCAGCAGACTGCCGCGCAAAATGCGTCAATAAAGCTTAATGGCATGACGATTGAGCGCCAAAGTAACACGATTTCTGATGCTATTGATGGCGTTACATTAACATTGAAATCCCAAACAGCGACGAATTCATCAGAGACATTATCAATCGCCAGTGATATTGCGCCGATGAAGACAGCCGTTCAAAATTACGTCGATGCGTACAATGCACTGCAGACTACAATTGGTACTTTGACCAAATACACAGAGGTAGATCCTGGTTCTGATGCACAAAGCACCAGTAACGGCGTATTGCTTGGTAACAGCACTGTCCGTGGTATCCAGACCTCACTGAAAACACAAATCTCCTCCGCTCAGAGCGGTATGGATATCAGTACGCTCAATGAAATGTGCGTTAAACAAAACCCCAAAACCGGCATGCTTGAGATTGATAGCGATAAGCTAACAACTGCACTGACAGATAATTCCAGTCAGGTGTGAGACTAGCAGAACGTCCCTCGGCCTCCCCTGGGCCAGAGAACGTCGTCTACATCTCGCTCTGANTTCACCTTTGTCTTCGGATGTTGGTGGAAGCCTGCTCTTCCCCTCATCCTTCTCACTTGACATTTGAACACTCGGTCCGTGTATCTTTGCTAAGAGTCGGTCCACCTACAAGGCGAGCGTACAAGGCCGGGCCGGTGGAGGCCTTCATGTCAAAGACACGTTCCCTCTCCGCGTCACGGACCTCGCACACACCCGTGCGGTGTCCTCTCTCTTTTCTGTCTTTCGCCTTTGTCTTCGGATGTTGGTGGAATTGCAAATTGAATGTATAAAATTACTTTCTGTCATTGAAGAATGCTTTAATACCTTTCTATACACATTTTTTTTTGTCTAACATTTCTCTAACAATGTAACTAATATGTCGCATTTGAATGCTTGCTACGTTTGTATGGTTCGTACGTCTTTTTGAATTATTAAAAATTGTGCACATGAGATGTATGTTGAGCGAAGCCGGTTCTGTCTTATCAAATATGTACCAAGCTACTGGAAGAATTGTGTTATGTCTCACGTGATAAGGGAAGTTTGTATTGGAAAGTGAAATTGTTCTTCCGGAATCTGATGTCGATACCTATTTGAGGGGCAGAATTTTATTTGTTTTTCCATTTTTGAAATGTTTTTGTAAATGTAAAAGAATAAAAGTTTTGATTGGATGGTAATAATTAATTTACAAATAGAAGACTCCAATTTTATCTTAATGCAATTGTTTTCATTGGACCTGGAATTTTTCATCACCATGTTGCTTACCTTTTTATTAACCTGGGTTTGTCAACTGTGTTTGTGTGACTTGTAAAAAAATTTGTTCTAGGAACATGAATCATGTTGTCCAGATAGAATAAAAACTGATTGGCTAGTATACTCAGGCGCACAGCATAAATCATCTAGTTTAGTACCAGTGAATATAAAAATTTCACCACCTGAAGGAGTTGAACGCTGGGAAACAGTGAGTAGAAAAAGGGTGGTACCATTCTCTTAAAAATGTTTTAAAAACTTTTGTTCGTCAGCAGCCAAGTTTTGAATGGCGCCGACGAACACCACCGGGAGAGAGGAAACGAAATTAATAAAAGGATTGTTTCGGCACCAACGGGAATTGAAGATTTCCGATTTTAAGAGGGGTGTTAGTTTAGGAATGGTTAACTGAAGGAATAAATAATGAACGAAAAAATAATTGAAGACCCCCCTGTTTAATGAAGTTTCTATGGCTTACAAAGTGGCAGATAATCGTATTAGAGATGTGAAGGCGATGAAGACCGGGAAGTGGTGAAGGTCTTCTGAATGCGATATCGTGCGTTGTTTGGCGATGATTAGGCCGATATACCGACCTGGTTCATGCAGTGTCGTTGATGATGATGATGCAATCCGGTAGCGGTGAGGATGAGACGAGGCAATCCAGGTAGTAGCCAGTGAGATGATGGAGTCTTCGTGGAATAATGAAGGATGTTGCGTTCGCGGGATTATAATGATGGTAGATGGAAGAAGGAGATGATATATTAAGGGAAAATGGCGATGATAGGTTTGCGGACCATGCGGTTGTGAAATGGACGTGGAGGTGAAGATAGTATGGCGATTTGCGGGGAATCGCGTAGCGAAGAAGACTTTAAGAAGCGGCGATCTTACACGGAGTTAAATTACTATGGCGCAACACTTTAGCGGGATAGGGCGATAGGACGTGTGCTCGCTCTGAGAGCTGGCGGAGAAGAGAGCCCGAGATGGCTGGAAGGGATGAGGTTTTGAGAAAAAAAGGGGGAAGTATATGACGATTGGTGGATTTCTAGATGATAGGGGTTGTAGATAGAGGGGTACAATCTACGTCGCAAATCGGGCGCTTCGGTGACGTAGCCGCGCCCGAACAACTTTTGTATGTTCATTTTCTGTAGTACACTGTTTATTAACAGTTTTAATAAGAAGTCAATTTGTACAACGAACTAATTTGCGCAGTGTACCTGGGTACAATACAAGCAGTGTAGATTAAGTTTTCGCTAGTAATTAATGAATCTGGAAATTTTATCAGATATTATGACATTTATTAAACATTTTCCAATAACATGAGATGCGTTATTTTTNCACCCTGCATAATATATATAATATAAGCAATGAATATAGGGATTCATAACTATGCAGCATTAAAAAAAAATTCCCTTGTCATTTTTAGATTGTTTTATTCCTTCTTTAAGGGGCATTAAGTCGTAGGTAAATGCACGTAAATACTGGAAGTAGAGGTAATGTCCAACTCATTAATAAGCCAAGTTGTAGTCTTAGGAGAAGCGTCGAAAACCACACCGTATTTTGTTGTTTTGCTGTGGATGCGGAGGCGAGGGTTCTGCANTTTTTCAACGGTCGTAGTAAGCTAATCTTCGGCACAGCGCCTTATGAACATAGGACCATAGCCTGACATTTCAATCCTGTCTCTAGAAGTGGGGCCCAAGAGGATGTGGTTATTATTAATTATATTGTAACCGGTGATGGGAAGAATTATAAAATAAAATGAATCAACTATTGTTTTAAATAGATTTAATAATTGTAAGTAGGATAATAAGAAACAGTGTCGGCAAAAGGGGGACCTAGATGCTCTGTCAGCAACCCGGCCTCGGGTGAACGGCAACAATAGCGGTCAGTAGACGCGGAGCAGCCAGAGGGAACATGAAGTTCCCTTGTGGGTCGCATCGTCTTGAAAAAGACAATGAGGTTCTTTATCGTCCGCACCTGGCACATGGCCTTATCAGCCGTTGGTTTCTCAAGGTGGGAGGCGACGCACCTCTGCTAACGGGCAGTTAGTGCTAAGCCCGCAAGCTGTGTAGAAGAACCGTCCAAGCCCCTAAGGACCCAGACGGCCTTCTTCCCCACTTGCCCCGTCCGAGGGGGTGGGTCAGCCAAACAATGCACCTGACCGTGTGTCGCACAGCGCTTGGTTCAAGGACCGAGGTCCGAACCCCCGCCGTACTCCCGTAGATAGAGAAGGCAACTCTTCCCCCGAGTGGAGGGGCCCCCCTAGCGTAGGGACTTCCGGATGCGTTCCGACGACGTCTTTGGTTTTAAGTGGAAATGCTAACCACCCCCGGATGAGTGCGGCTGTCCAATGAATGCACAAAGGACAGCCGTCTCTCTCCGAGTGCCCGCCAGGGGTCTCACCACGTACCACTACGAATCCAAACCGCAATTGCAAGCATTTGGGCCTGGACTATGCTTGCGCCCGTAGTTCAGTTGATCCGGCTCCATCCCCCGACCTTACGGAAGGGATCCGGTTTACCAGTCCATATGTGTGACTGATGACACACCCGCCGTTATGACTGCCGCGCATGATCCTTTGACCATACACGTCATCACTCGACTTGTGCTTCAGAGTGTTTACCACGCACTCTAGGCTACACCATTAGTTTTTGCCTGAAAAGCCCTCTTGCAACCAAGGGTTGGGATAGGATTGCTGGATTGAGTAAAGGTCCTGCCAGAGGGAACAGTCGAAATAAAAATTAGTGTGATGTGGTGGACTCTCATCGTGGCAGTAATAATCAGTGAGTGCCTGTATTGATAAGAGTTGTGGCGCCAATCATGCCTGTTAAGACCCTAGTAATTCTATCCAGCTGCCCCTTTTTGCCGAGACTTAATTACTTACAAGTAATTCATAAGAAGACGCTCGATTGTAAATCGCATAGTGTTGTCGAATAAAATAGCATTAGAAATTAGCGCGACTCATTTAGTCCAGAATCACTCTTCCAGGATCCCGGGGTTACAATATTAAAAAGGTACGACGGCAGAAACTGTGCCAAAGTGACAACAAACGTGGCGCGGTTGACATCATTTGTGACATTTGTGATAACAAGAGCGTGTGTTTTGATAGCTTTAATGTAGTCATTGACTTTACTTAAACAAATACTATATTATATCCGAAATTATGGCCCAAAATCGTCATCGGTCGGAATTTTTTTAGTACACAGATCAAAAAGATTAATAAACACATGAAACCATGTAGCCCTACTTATTCACTGGGAAAATAGTAGAAATAGTTTTTCCAACATAATGATGCTCACTGTGCCATGTATATGTATATTAATTACTTACATTTTTATGTACATAGAAATAAGAATAAATTTATTCTAAACTGTGAAATTATCAAATACAACACAAGAACTTACATTGTATGTTCCGTTCATGACAGTGAAAACTTCTCAAAAAAGGACTAGGTCTGGATGCTAAATCTGTTTAACCGCAAAACTGAAATCAAAATGTTACATGTTAAAAAGTAAAGGAACTCCTGGTACTCAGGGCATTCATGTCTATTGAAGAATTTTGTGATAACATACCATAGAAAATCACCTTTGTATCTTGACTAAATTATACCTTCTCTCGGTTTCTACAGTAAATTATTCTTATTCGACTGACTCCTCTCCAACGGGTTGTCACCCGATCCGCCGACGCTAGGGTCTATACCTCAGGGGAGTTCACCTACACCGTAGTATACCTCTTGAGCCAGATGCCCAGAAAATCGTCTATTCTTAACTAACAGGGGTTAAGCTCGAGCGGCTTTCCACGGCTAAGTCATATTAGCCCCTAACCCATGCAAAATATAATCTAGCCTATAATAAAGTCGCATAAACAAATACATTCACGCCTATGTACATTGCATTCATTTGTCGGTGGTGTACTCGATATTCGTCCACTACACAATTAGTACACAATATTGATAATCTAATATAGATTAGGTCGATGGGGTACATATCTAATTTCGTGTGGCGATGTCAACGCTAAATTTCACCATCAGCCACCATAAAACACATAAAACAGATCTATATACAGTAAAATCCATCGAACTCCAAAAAAAAGGAAGAGTGGACCCAGAAACTCTCGACTGTGACCAACAACCATTTTTATTTGGAGGTACACGCTCTCTATAAGAAGCTAAGGCATGACAAGCTTATACTATTGCGACACATGGAGTAAACCTTCTC